TTAAAAATATTTTTGAATAAGACAGCTTCAAGTACAAAGATTATAATTAAGTCAAATACTTAACTAACAAGATAGCATACCTTATATTACGCATAAGCTTTTACTTAGTCAAATTTAACATTAAGCCTATTAACTTGGTTTAATATAAGAAAGCTTGAAACACACAAAACTTCTCTTTATTTTGTAATCATCAAAACTAGTGTTCAACATTTCTCCCCCTTTTTGATGATGACAAAACTCAGATGCAAAGTGTTAGTTCTCGAAGAGACTTTGATCTCTATTTCTTAAAAGATATAAACATAAAGAGAAGAAATGCATACTATATATATTTAAAAGAAGTTAAAAATCAGAGAAAATTTAATCAGATAAACAAGAAAACATTTAAACAATCACTTAGTTCACTTCTTAAAAATAGTACTAAAGAAATCCATTAACTCATGGAATTTCTTAGTAGTGGGAGATGAAGGTTTGGGTGTTTTAAAGGGTTGAGAGGATTGAGGTTTAGAGGGTTTGGATGAGGATTGAGGCTTAAAAGATTCTGAAGGCTTTACTTTAAATCTAATGAGTATAGGCAAGGCACTTTTTGGTCTTCTCACTACAAGTTGACCCTTATGCTTGCCACTTCCTGAATCTTCAACCACTTGCTTATCTAACCTACTATCTTGAATCTTACTGTGAACCTTGCTGCCTACCTTGTTTTCTAACTCTGCATCACTCTTCTCCCCCCTTTTGTCACTAGCAAAAGGCTGGGATAGATCAACAAGAACAAAAAAGTTAGAGAAAGGCACATAGGATGTAAAAGTACTACTTTCCATCCAAACTAGTCTATTCTTGAACCTTAGTGGAGGATTAAAAACTGCACCAAATTCCAAATAGCAGTGAGTGGTGTAGGAGACAACACAAAATCAGGATTTCTTTTAATTAAGTCTTAATAGGCAGCTGTATAGTTGATCCCAAAGAAGAATGGAGTAGAAGGTAGAGGTGATTGTGCAGACTCCAATTCTTCTTCATTATCAGATATCTCAATATACTCTATGGCAATCTTAGCCACAACTAGTACAAGCTTGTTGCTGTCTGAAGCATATGACTTAGCTCTTTTTGAACTATCTTCAAACATAGCTCTTAGTTTAAAATCAGTAGAAGAAATTAGTCCAATCCTCATATTTCTAATCTTGGAAGGTATTTATATGTCACTGTCAATGTCTTCCTCAGTCGCCTTCTTTGAAGTAGAGGTACTGGATGTGTATACTGACACAAAATCCTCAATAAACTGTGTTCCGTCATTCTCATCTAGAGAGACACTAGTAAGTGTACCAATCTTAAAGGGAGAATAATGCTTAGATAAGTCCCTTGGTCTACCTGGTATACCTCCCAAACTCAAAACTTGAGCTCTTAACAAGCTAATTTCTTCTTTAAATTCTTCTCTAATCTCTTCAGAAGATTTCTTTATTTTTTGGTTGAAGTCCTTAGATTGTCTTTCAAGACACAAAGTGAAAAGCTCAGCTTGAATGTTGAACCTCCTATCTAACTACTTAATACCATCTAAATCAAGATATACTCCTTGTGATGGTGGTGGGATATTTGAGTCATTTTGAGCATGTTGAGAATCTTGTCTGCCTTGAGCATTATGAGCTGCTACTGAGTAAGCTTCTGTTTAAGCACTACCTCCTTCTTCTTTAATAATTTCCATTTTCTTTAAAGTCATAGAGTTGATCTCCTCATGTCCTAATACCTCATTACCTTCTAGATACATAATCTTCTAATCTTCCAGCATTTTGAAAATTACATTTCCATAGATGAGATGTTTCCTATCTCTTTTTTCTACTCAACTGGACTACGTTCTTGATCTTCCTTGTCACACTCCAAAAATAGAGAGTAACCGAGACGAGATGTGAACCATATAACACATCTCCGTAAGCCTCTAATCTTAAACTCATTCCATTTCTAAAATGTAATAAAATTTATAATGAAATTTTAACATTTTGATATTGGTCATCATAATAAAATTAAAAAAGAAATTTATAAAAATTTGACAAAACCTCACCTGTAAATAGGATCTTTCGAAACTTTACAATGCAAAAATATTTACAGAATATCATATCAATCAGGAGCTTAGCTCTTCCAATAAACAAACAGCATATATACCAAAATAGAAGCTTTAGATATAGCATATGTGGAGCACCTAACCAGACTTTTCCAAAAATAAAATACATAAGCATTTATAGTTACGTAAAAAGAGAAATTTTGATTAGTTCTTCACCCAGCACATCTATGAGTTCTCATGGATCAACAGGAAGATCGGTGTCAACTAAGGTATCATGTCCCAACAATAAACAATAGAACATAAATAGAATGGGAAGTTTGAAATAATTATGTACGTTAAAGAGACAACAATTTCCATAAAAGTTTAATAAACTTCATAATAAAATGGCTATATAAAATTTCAAATAAAATCTCAAATCATTGAACTATCATAACAAATGATAATATCACTTGATTTCAAGAAAGCACATAAATGAAATAAATTTTTTATAAACAAATTACTAAATAAAAATAATGGAATATAAATTATCAAATAATTGGATTCATAATTATAGGGACTTATTAAAACAACTAACAAACGTGAACACACAGTCTAGGAGGGTAAATAACAAACGTAGCTTATGCCATGAAGACAAACATAGACACATAGTCCACAAGGGTAAATAACTAAATGCAGCCAAAGCTATGAAACAAACATGGGCACACAATTCATGAGGGTAATGCTAATCAAATGCGGCCCAAGACCATGAAAATAAACACGAGTATGAGACCCACAAATAACAAACGTGAGAAAAAAGCTTATGAAAATCAAATTAGCTAGTGATTGACCATGGCACGCCAAGGGCTAACAGAATTGCCATTAGCAACTAGTGCTTTGTAATAAGTCCCTTTTTAAATCTAATTTCAAACATGTAAGGAAATCATCAGTAATATATAAAATTTTCATTTTCAAAGTTAAGCTCGCACGAATCATTCTCTGTATCAATCCAATATTTGATAGGATGAAATCTCATAATCAAAGTTGCAACTTGTATTTATTAACTAACTAAAATTATCAAATCTGTAAAAAGTTTCACAAAAAAAAAGTAATTTAAGTATCAAAATAAACAATAATCACATTGTTGTCATTAAAATGATTTATACAAAAAATGTAATATTTTATTAGAGAAAATTTTGATTGAAAAAATTAGTTGGGATGATATCCACTTAAAGTAATCCCAACATTGTAATTTATCCCTTAACATTCCTTACCATAAGGTTTATTCCTAAAACATCCAATATAATAATAATGGAATCTTTAAAATTTAATAAAACTCACAATTATTTACTCACTTATTGTAATACATTCTCACATTGCTCTTGGACACCAGTATTTTTATTTTTTTTCTAAAGAAATTCATGTCCTTTGCATTTCTTTTTAGCGCCCAAATCATAATAATCTACTAACATGTTTTAACTAAACAATACCATTATTCACATTTGCACTCTTCCCACAACACATCATCAAACATCTTATATGCATTCTAAAATCAAATCTTACATAGGTATGAAAACTTATAAATTGCCAGCCATACAATCCTTAAGCATCAACAAGTCCTTTATAAAGTTTCCTATATTCAATTTGATAACAAGATTCAACATCCCATAAGAGCAAAACATGATTCTAAATTTAATTTAATTTTAATTTTTTTCCTTAACACAATCATAGTCCATCTAAATGAATCATAATTACCTTAAACATCATCATTTATGTCACAATTTCTTTGTGATGCTTAGATTAAAACTATACTAAATAACATTTGAATCAATCAATAGAACTTTAGAAAATACACAGTCAAGCAAAAACTCTCCAAACGAGCATTTAATCAAACACTTTATAGGCATCAATCTTTAAACTCATATTAATCTCTTCCTCCTCAATATCACTTCCTTAAAATTTTCAATAGCAATGTTATAATCAATAATCCAATCAACTTCAATTAAAACTCAAACCCACTCCATCATCTCCTTCTCTTATACAACTATAAATTTCATCCTAAATCAAGCTTTTCCTTTATACACCAGTCACGTTTAGCAGCAGTAGTAGAAGAGAAAATTTTTGCAACTCAAATCATCAACTCACATACCCGCTCATATGAAAAATAAATACGAAGAAGACTTAAAGATCCTATACTAGAAATTACTAAATAAAGACAGCAAAGCGAAGAAGGAATCACACCTTAAGCTGAACAGGGGAGGGAAAATCTGATACATCATGCAGAAAAAAGAAGAACAGAGCTAGCAAAATCAAACCAAGAATAAAAAAGAATCACAGATAGTAGCTCAGTCTAGTGTTTCAACTTTTATGCCTTAGCTCCCACGTACAGCAACGATGCAGTAATGAGTGGAGAACGAAAATCATTAAACGAGGAAGACAACTAGGCGACGGCAAGCAAACTATTGTCATTGGCTAGAGGATAAGACCATGGAGAGGAAAATGACAGGAATGGATTTTCGGATTTGAGGTTCGAAGCTACTGGAACCGAGTAAAAAAATCTCTAACTCCCTCTTCCTCTGGTCTAGAATGCATGTGCACTACCGAAAAAGAGAAGAAAAGAAAAGGAAAAATATGGAAGACTTGACCAGAGGCAAAACAGCAAGAACTCATCGGAAAATTGAGGATGAACAAAGGGAGACAGCAACCATAAGACCACCTCATTTGACAGAGGAGGAGAATTGTAATGACCTTAAAATTTCATATATATATATATATATTCTCTCAATTTATATTTTATTTAAATTAGTTTTTTGATAAATGAAAAGTGGTAATTTAGTGAAACTTATGCTAATAGTTTATTTGAAGGTTTTGAATTCTTTTGAACAATAGATTAAATTTTATTAGTTTAAAATTTTGGGAAAAATTATAAAAAGGGCCGTTTCTCTTATATTATTAAGAAAAAAATGCTGTGCCTCTTTTGTAATTTTTGCAATTTCCTAATGTCTGAGCTTTTATTATCCCATCTCTCGGTCAGACCACGCACGAAAAAAAAACAAAACAGAGACTTCTGGATCCTTCAACACAAGGGTTCTATCGATGCTATCTCCCTCTGCTCTTCCTTGATTTCTCCGGTGAGTTTCCAATGTCGTGCTGCCGGTCAAGCCTTCCCCTTTAGTCTGAAAATTTTCCTTTTCTTTTCTTCTCTTTTTGGTGGTGCATAGCGTTCTGGTCAGAGGAAGCTGGAGGATTTGGGCTAGATGTTTCGAATCTTCATCCAGCTCTTCCGTCCTCTGTCACTGTCTTCATCTCGTTCTTCTTCTTTTTCATCATCCTGCAGCGTGTAGCTGGTGACCGTGGAGGAGTTCATAACTGTTGCTGTCTTCCTCATCTTTTTCCTGCTTTTATTTTCGTTCTGGCGTTGTTGGTGTCCGAGGAGCTGAGTAGTTAGAGCTGAAGGATCTATTTGTAAGTCACTTTGGTTCTTGGTTGGTTGTTGTGGCTGTATTCCTCCCCCTCTCTGATGCATCGTGTTCGGAATTTCCCTCCCCTGTTTAGCTTAAGGTGCGATTTCTTCTTCCTTTTGCTGGCTTTGTTCGGAAATTTCTGGTACAAGAACTTCAAGTCTTCTCCATATTTATTTTCATGCGAGCGGGTGTGTGAGTTGATGAATTGAGTTGCAAAAATTTTCTCCTCTGCTGCTGCTGCTGAACGTGACTGGTTGTATATATGTGTATGAAGGAAAAGCTTGATTAAAGATGAAATTTGTGGTCGTATAAGAGGAGGAGATGATGGAGTGGGTTTGAATTTTTATTGAAATTCATTATAACATTGCTATCGAAAATTTTAAGGAAGTGATACTGAGGAAGAAGAGATTAATATGAGCTTAAATATTGATACCCATAAATTGTTTGATTAAATGCTCGTTTGGAGAGTTTTTGCTTGACTGTGTATTTTCTAAATTTCTAATGATTGAGGCAAAAAGGATGATTGATTCAAATGTTATTTAGTAGAGTTTTAATTTGAGCATTGCAAAGGAGTTTATCTAAGAAATTATTGAGGTCTTATTTGAGTTTTGAATTGTTGGGAGTTACAAAATTGAAAGGTTATAAAGTACATTATCATTTTGGAGGTTATATTTGAATGTTTGGAAATGGTTGGGTAATAGAATTAAAAGTTTCGTGTTTTATTGAATGGTTTGGAATGTCGCACATTAAATGTTTGGTAAAAAGCTTAAGAGAAAAAAAAATTTATGAATGAATTGTGTTCTTAAAAATTCAAAATTATTATTGTTAATTTTAGTTGAGTAGGTGCTCTCGAAATGGGGTCTTGTTGGTTTTAAAAAAAAATAAAGCCTGTTAAAATATTATTATATATTATATATTATAGGATGTTTGGAAGGAGGGAAGCTCAAATGGAGTCATAAGGAATGAGTTTGGAGCCTTGAGGATACTACAGGTAAGTGGATAGCGTCCCAACTGATTTTTTTCAATCGAAATTTTCTTTACTAAAATACTACGTTTTTCTGGAAATCATTTTAATAGCATTAATGCGATTATGGGATATTTATTGATTAACATTTCTTTATTTTGAGAAATTAGCTTTACAAAATTTGAAATGTTATTTGATCAATCAAGTCAATTTTAAACTTTGATTATGAGATTTTTATTTTATTAAATATTGAATTGATACAGAGAATGATTCATGCGAGTTTGACGTTGAAAATTTTTCTTTATTCAATAAATGCAAGCATGAGCATCGGATATGAAATTTAATTCTGGCAAGTTTTAATGTTTAAAAGTATTCATGCGAGTTTGATTTTGAGGATGAGAACTGTATCTTAAAAGTGATGATTTTCTCGCATGTTTGAAAATGGTTTTAAAAAGGGACTTTATATAGAACACTGGTTGCTAACGGCAGTTCCGTTAGCCCTTGGCGCGCCATGGTACACCTAGCTAGCAGGGTGTGTATAGGAGGTGCTAGCCCCGTGCGATGGCCAACGCACGTGGAACGGAGGGATGGTTATTCGTGAGCATCGTACTCACGTTTGTTTCGTAGCTTCGGCTGCGTTTGATTACATACCCTCGTGGACTATGTGTCCACGTTTGATTCGTGGCTTCGGCTGCGTTTGGTTATTTGCTCTCGTGGACTATGTGTTCATGTTTGTTTTCGTGGCAAGAGCCACGTTTGGTTATTTGCCCTCGTGGACTATGCGTCCACGTTTGTTAATTGTTCTGATAAGTCCCTATAATATGAATTTGATAATTTGGTAATTTTACATCCCATTGATTTTAATTAGTAAATTATTTATAATTATTGATTTTGTTTATTTGCTTCATTGCAATCAAGTGATAACATTATTTAATATGAGATTTTAATGGTTCGAGATTTTATTTAAACATTTTATAAAATCATTTTATTTTGAAATTTATTCAACTTTTATAAAGATCGTCGCTTTTTTAATTTACATAATTGTTTAAATTTTTTTATGTTTAATTATTTATTGTTGGGACGTTATTCACTGGAAAAATATTTTTGGTCTCAGATAGCGTAGCGGACCGTGTACCTCCATTAGATCCTTAAGGGCATTTTGCTTCTGGACTGAAGTTGAGACACCATTTTGGTTAATTTTTATTTTGATGTAAATTTATAATTCATATATCGTATTTTTACAAATAATGTTTTAGGTGCTCCACATAGATTATAGTTAGAGTCCTAATTCTGTATTGTGCTATTTGATTGTTGTGGAGGAGAGGAGTTCTCTTTTGCTGAGTTGATGTCATAGATTGTGATGGAATATTTTTTGAGGCTCTATGTTTTCGGGGAGGTTTTGTTAAACATTTTTACAAAAAGTTTAAAAATATTTTATTAAAAAAAATTGTTACAATGATTTTCTATCCTATTTTAAATGAATTAAAATATTATATTAAAGTTTTTTTAATTAAGGCTTAAGGGATATATGTTTATACATATATCTCGTGCCGGTCACGTCTAATTTTTAGGGCGTGACAGATTGGTATCAGAGCCTAGGTTTTTTTTTTAGCTATGTGGAGCAAGGACACTTCAATGGGGTCTCAATTATTATTATGAACTCGGGCATAATCATAATTGAAACATTATTGAAGGCCTTATAGAGGGTCTTTGAATGTGGTCCCTTTCCTTCTTGCTGACTCCTCTTGATATATAGTTTTGTATTTTGAGCTGAACATTTCCTCTATCTCTTCGAATACTAAGAAAATGTTGACTAGACATTGAGTATTAAGTAGAAGGACATGAAATAGGGGAGATTTTCATAGAGCTTGAACCCAACCTAGTGATATATCCTTATTCTTGAAGCTCAAGTTCTTTTATATTTTATAATTTTTGTTAAGCTTAAAGATCTTTGTGTTCTCATTTTAAAGAGAAGTTAGACCCAAGATCACAAGTGCCGTGGGGGACATGATTGAAGTAGTAGAACTCTAACACTCTTAGTAGGTGCTTCATCTCAAAGTGTTGAAGGATCCCTCCTCAATTCTGTAAAAAAATAATAATAATAAAAATAAAAAATACAATCTCTACTTAAGAAAGAAAGGATACAAGGCTTGTGTAGCAATTACTTCAATTCATATTTAGAAGAAAAACTCTATATATATTGAATAATTTGTGTCATGGGTTAATTTGGTATATTCCAAGTTTTATGTCATTATTAGTTAGATTGGTGAAAGAAACATTTAAACTATGAGTAGATATGTGTTAAGAAAAGGTAATATTATGTTTAGCGCTCACAAGACTTGTGCTATTTGATTTTAGTGTTACTTGTTATTATATGCTTTAGTATTATGATAGCAATTCCTGTTAGTGAGATGTTGGTGATTGGTCAAGGGTATGAATCTTTTACCATTGAGTGAAGGTGAATGACTTCTTGATAACTTCACATGAGTGTCAATAAGGTTTATTTGATGAAATTATCGTAAAGGATGTTTGAATAAGAATTATGAAGGTCAATTGAACCATCATTATGAGAAATTCATAATTTTAAAATATCAACCTTTAGGATGAAAACAAGACATGAAGAACAAAGTGTTGAAATTTAAACTTCTGACTCATAATGAGGGTTCAAATGAGTTTGTTGGGGTTAAATAAGGCATATATGATTTGAGAATAATATTTGGAATCCAAGTAATGAGAAACTTTAATTATGGCTTAAAGTGGAACATGGAAGCTCATATGGTTTGATATGAATTATATATAACTTAATGTGTGTTAATATAAGTCAAGTGGTCATTTTGAGAACTAAATTTACATGTTGTATAAGTGGTGAAAAATATGGTTATGATGAAGAATCTCAAAAGAGTGCAAGTTCAATTATTTGAGCCTTTAAAACAAAATCAAATGAGCAGTAAATGATATGATTGCAATTGAAGGCCTTAAAGGTCGGTTTTTGGTATGAAATTTGGTACGCAATTATAGAATATGTTTTAAAATTTTGAAATTGGTTTTAAAAGTTGTTATGGAATAGCTCTACAGCTTTGATATTAGATTTGATATTTTATGATTTTCTTTGGATTAAATGGGCTCTAATGATTTTGAAATCATAACAATAGATAATGCATGAATATATCTTTCTAAAGAGCCATATTTTTCTTGAATTGGATGTTTCTAGTTGAAGTTATGATCATCTAAAGTTTGGAATCAATTATGTGTTCATAATATGTTAAAATTAGGTGCAAAGAGATTAAGTTTTATTGTTTTTTTTCTATTATACATGGTGGTTACTGGTGAGATGTGTTAAGCATTCTAAGTGGATTGGAATGACCTTTAGCAGTGAATGGTGGGAGACAAGCATTTTATTTTTGTACTTGAGCTATGCAAAAAAAAAATAGGATTATTTAGCTGAAGCAATTAGAAGGATTAGAGATCTATATTAATAAGCATATCTACAATATCTCTCTTTGTTATAAGGGAATTAAGAGGAATTTAGGATTCTATTTCTTCTTTTATTTCAGGAAAATTTTGTTAAGAAATTCATTTAGCAAATTTTAAATGATTGTGTTGATAAATTAAGGATGTATAAACAAGAGCAAGTGTAGTAATGTCTATGAAAAGGATGAGTGTAATGTTTGCATAAATTATTTGATAAATTTATGATACAATGTATAGGTGAATTTGTTGTTGATTAGAATAGAACATTAAAAGACAGTAGCAAAATAGGTATACTTTAAATAGAGGTTATCATAAGGGGTAGAATTAACTCAATACGTATCAATTATTCCTCAAAAGTCAATAAAGGTGTATCAAGATTTATAAAACAAATAAACTATTTGTATTGTGGGATAGTTTGAGAAAAGGTATAATGGACTTTATCTCATGATTATTTTATGTGCAAGTTAAGGGAAAGCATTAGAAATTGATATGGGGGCATCAATGATTAGAAGAGTTTGTAAAGTTGCACATAGTTCCATTATCTTAGTTGCAGAACAAGCACTCTAATTTACTTTGTGCCTTTAGAAAGCCTTACAAGAGACTTTGGGTGCTATCATAAACTAATGATCTATATGAAGGGATAGTTCGAATTTTAAACATTAGGCCAAGATCTTGTATTTTGAACTTTGGGTCAAAAAAAAAATTAAGATAACTGCTAACTTCATTGTAAAGTGCTTACAATAATAATTATCAAATTAATATTTAATATTTGAGGAGTTGTAAGATGAATGATGAAGAATTTTAATTGAATGGTTTGATATTACTTAAGAAGTTAGAGACAAGATCTGGTGCAAGATGCTATTAAGAAGGTGAAAGTAATTAGATAATGACGGGTAATAGCCTAGAGTTGATAGAAGTCTTTTATTGATAATAGATGTTGGAAGTTAGAGTTTATGGTCAGAGACAAAGTATATTCGAAGATGTCTTCCATGAAAGGAGTAAGGAGAATTGAGGACAAAGGCAAGTTGAGATTGAGATATATTAGCTCCTTTGAGATCTTAGTGAAAGTTAGTGTCGTCACGTATTGATTGGCATTGCCACCTGAACTATTGAGCATTAGTCTGATGTTTCATGTATTAATATTACAAAACGTGTATATATATATATATACATGTATAACTTTTTTTTTTCATGTTTCGATACTCAAAAGGATATAGATAGATCTAGTTTTATCATATGAAGGAATCCTTATGACTATTTTTAATAGATAAATAAAGAAGTTACATGGAAAGTCAGAAGTGATATGTTTGTTAAGTATTTGCATTTATCCAAAAACTAAGGTAAGCATTCATTAAAATTTGGGGGACCAAATTTTTAAAAGGGGAGAGAATGTAATGACCTTAAAATTTCATATATATATATATATATATTCTCTCAATTTATATTTTATTTAAATTAGTTTTTTGATAAATGAAAAGTGGTAATTTAGTGAAACTTATGCTAATAGTTTATTTGAAGGTTTTGAATTCTTTTGAACAATAGATTAAATTTTATTAGTTTAAAATTTTGGAAAAAATTACAAAAAGGGCCGTTTCTCTTATATTATTAAGAAAAAAATGCTGTGCCTCTTTTGTAATTTTTGCAATTTCCTAATGTCTGAGCTTTTATTATCCCATCTCTCGGTCAGACCACGCACGAAAAAAAAACAAAACAGAGACTTCTGGATCCTTCAACACAAGGGTTCTATCGATGCTATCTCCCTCTGCTCTTCCTTGATTTCTCCGGTGAGTTTCCAATGTCGTGCTGCCGGTCAAGCCTTCCCCTTTAGTCTGAAAATTTTCCTTTTCTTTTCTTCTCTTTTTGGTGGTGCATAGCGTTCTGGTCAGAGGAAGCTGGAGGATTTGGGCTAGATGTTTCGAATCTTCATCCAGCTCTTCCGTCCTCTGTCACTGTCTTCATCTCGTTCTTCTTCTTTTTCATCATCCTGCAGCGTGTAGCTGGTGACCGTGGAGGAGTTCATAACTGTTGCTGTCTTCCTCATCTTTTTCCTGCTTTTATTTTCGTTCTGGCGTTGTTGGTGTCCGAGGAGCTGAGTAGTTAGAGCTGAAGGATCTATTTGTAAGTCACTTTGGTTCTTGGTTGGTTGTTGTGGCTGTATTCCTCCCCCTCTCTGATGCATCGTGTTCGGAATTTCCCTCCCCTGTTTAGCTTAAGGTGCGATTTCTTCTTCCTTTTGCTGGCTTTGTTCGGAAATTTCTGGTACAAGAACTTCAAGTCTTCTCCATATTTATTTTCATGCGAGCGGGTGTGTGAGTTGATGAATTGAGTTGCAAAAATTTTCTCCTCTGCTGCTGCTGCTGAACGTGACTGGTTGTATATATGTGTATGAAGGAAAAGCTTGATTAAAGATGAAATTTGTGGTCGTATAAGAGGAGGAGATGATGGAGTGGGTTTGAATTTTTATTGAAATTCATTATAACATTGCTATCGAAAATTTTAAGGAAGTGATACTGAGGAAGAAGAGATTAATATGAGCTTAAATATTGATACCCATAAATTGTTTGATTAAATGCTCGTTTGGAGAGTTTTTGCTTGACTGTGTATTTTCTAAATTTCTAATGATTGAGGCAAAAAGGATGATTGATTCAAATGTTATTTAGTAGAGTTTTAATTTGAGCATTGCAAAGGAGTTTATCTAAGAAATTATTGAGGTCTTATTTGAGTTTTGAATTGTTGGGAGTTACAAAATTGAAAGGTTATAAAGTACATTATCATTTTGGAGGTTATATTTGAATGTTTGGAAATGGTTGGGTAATAGAATTAAAAGTTTCGTGTTTTATTGAATGGTTTGGAATGTCGCACATTAAATGTTTGGTAAAAAGCTTAAGAGAAAAAAAAATTTATGAATGAATTGTGTTCTTAAAAATTCAAAATTATTATTGTTAATTTTAGTTGAGTAGGTGCTCTCGAAATGGGGTCTTGTTGGTTTTAAAAAAAAATAAAGCCTGTTAAAATATTATTATATATTATATATTATAGGATGTTTGGAAGGAGGGAAGCTCAAATGGAGTCATAAGGAATGAGTTTGGAGCCTTGAGGATACTACAGGTAAGTGGATAGCGTCCCAACTGATTTTTTTTCAATCGAAATTTTCTTTACTAAAATACTACGTTTTTCTGGAAATCATTTTAATAGCATTAATGCGATTATGGGATATTTATTGATTAACATTTCTTTATTTTGAGAAATTAGCTTTACAAAATTTGAAATGTTATTTGATCAATCAAGTCAATTTTAAACTTTGATTATGAGATTTTTATTTTATTAAATATTGAATTGATACAGAGAATGATTCATGCGAGTTCGACGTTGAAAATTTTTCTTTATTCAATAAATGCAAGCATGAGCATCGGATATGAAATTTAATTCTGGCAAGTTTTAATGTTTAAAAGTATTCATGCGAGTTTGATTTTGAGGATGAGAACTGTATCTTAAAAGTGATGATTTTCTCGCATGTTTGAAAATGGTTTTAAAAAGGGACTTTATATAGAACACTGGTTGCTAACGGCAGTTCCGTTAGCCCTTGGCGCGCCATGGTACACCTAGCTAGCAGGGTGTGTATAGGAGGTGCTAGCCCCGTGCGATGGCCAACGCACGTGGAACGGAGGGATGGTTATTCGTGAGCATCGTACTCACGTTTGTTTCGTAGCTTCGGCTGCGTTTGATTACATACCCTCGTGGACTATGTGTCCACGTTTGATTCGTGGCTTCGGCTGCGTTTGGTTATTTGCTCTCGTGGACTATGTGTTCATGTTTGTTTTCGTGGCAAGAGCCACGTTTGGTTATTCGCCCTCGTGGACTATGCGTCCACGTTTGTTAATTGTTCTGATAAGTCCCTATAATATGAATTTGATAATTTGGTAATTTTACATCCCATTGATTTTAATTAGTAAATTATTTATAATTATTGATTTTGTTTATTTGCTTCATTGCAATCAAGTGATAACATTATTTAATATGAGATTTTAATGGTTCGAGATTTTATTTAAACATTTTATAAAATCATTTTATTTTGAAATTTATTCAACTTTTATAAAGATCGTCGCTTCTTTAATTTACATAATTGTTTAAATTTTTTTATGTTTAATTATTTATTGTTGGGACGTTATTCACTGGAAAAATATTTTTGGTCTCAGATAGCGTAGCGGACCGTGTACCTCCATTAGATCCTTAAGGGCATTTTGCTTCTGGACTGAAGTTGAGACACCATTTTGGTTAATTTTTATTTTGATGTAAATTTATAATTCATATATCGTATTTTTACAAATAATGTTTTAGGTGCTCCACATAGATTATAGTTAGAGTCCTAATTCTGTATTGTGCTATTTGATTGTTGTGGAGGAGAGGAGTTCTCTTTTGCTGAGTTGATGTCATAGATTGTGATGGAATATTTTTTGAGGCTCTATGTTTTCGGGGAGGTTTTGTTAAACATTTTTACAAAAAGTTTAAAAATATTTTATTAAAAAAAATTGTTACAATGATTTTCTATCCTATTTTAAATGAATTAAAATATTATATTAAAGTTTTTTTAATTAAGGCTTAAGGGATATATGTTTATACATATATCTCGTGCCGGTCACGTCTAATTTTTAGGGCGTGACAAGAATAAATATCTGAATATTAAAAATTTACAAATTTACAAAAAGAGGACACAGCATTTTCCTCTAATAACATAAGAGAAATATGATTTTTTTGTAATTTTCCCTAAAATTTTAAAATAATAAAATTTAACTATTGCTCAAAAGAATTCAAACTTAGAATCTTCAAATAAGCTATTAGCATAAGTTTCATTAAGTCATCACTCTCCATTTGCATAAAACTAATTTAAATAAAATATAAATTGGGAGAATATTTTAATTTTTTTATATTTTAGGGTTATTACTTTCTTAAAAATGATGAAGGCAACATCCAATTTGAATCTTTTAATTAAGGCAATCAAAAAACTCAAGTCTTTAAAGATAAACTTGTTTACCCTAGATCTTTTGCAAGTAATCAACCTTAATAAAATATGATAGATTACTTTGTGAAATGTTGGCATGGACTTTGGCTTTTCCATTAGACCAGAACTTTCTTCCCATGTTGGCACTAGTGTTGTCAACATGATTGGCTTTTGATAGGATAAGTCTGACAGCCTCATCAACCTTTTATTGGTTGGAAAATTCAAAAGAGTGTTGAAATTGTCTTCTGCAATGTCAAAAGAATTTCCTCATACTATTGCTTTCAATACTTCACCATTGTGCAGAACTTGTGGAAACTATAAAATGCTCTTATAACTTTTAGACTTACTACCATATTGAGTTCCAATAGAGTCTTATAAGGCTTCATCATTTCAGTAACATCATACCCTTTCTATTTGAGCTCTATTAAGTTGATAATGCAAGATTTATTGACTTCTTTTCTAACCATTTTTTAAGGCCAGACTTGGAATTTGCCCAGTATGGAGTGAGTTAAAGTAGAAACTAGCAAAATCATTACTCTTATCTGATGCCTCATTGATACAAGCTTTTCCTTTCCTCATTGATACTAGCAAAATCATTATTCTTTAAGATTTTCAAAGTAAGGTTGATTAGGTAACGTACCCTCAAGTGTCCTCTTAGAAGAGATAGATTCATGCTCAGAGGGTTGAAAAGCTTTAGTTTTCCTTGATGCTCTTTGACCTTTTTGAGCAGTCTTAAGCTTCTTAGGAGTAGGATGAGATAGAGAAATACCAATGGTTTTCACTTGTTCTTCATTGAGTGTTTTCGTCTTCATTCTTTCCTTTCTCTTTCTGACCTTTGCAAGTTGTTCTACTTTATTTATAACTTCATTGTAGCTGCTAAGACTTGAATTTCGTCATCTAGACCCAGCTTGCTTAACCACAATGTCTCTAGCTTGGAAGAAATCAGACACAGAGAGTCCTCAAGCTTTCATAGCCTCTTTAGTCATTTTTGTTCATGTACGCTTCATCACAAATTTGATCAGTGTATATCAGAGATTTGGATAGAGAAAATAGTGTAAATTTGATAGAGGAATGGTTGGGTTTATAGGAAAAATGGTCATGAGAGAGTTAAATGAAAGGGGAGTTTGTACAAGAGAGAAAGTAGCATTGGTGGTTTTGGGGCAAAAGAGTGAATTGAGTGAGAATGCATACTCACACATATATATATAGACTGATATAGCACTGGTGTTGCTTATCATAACACTAGTGTTAAACTCAAAAAATTAAAGTTCAACAGTTACATAATTTAAAGTTATAAATCAATTTGATATTATCCATGCTAAGTCATTTTAAGGTGCCAGACTCATCTCTTAATAATGTTAATGGCTTTATAGTGGCTTTCACAGCATTAGTGTTGAACAATATAACGCTAGTATTAATATCAAAGTTAGCTATATGCAATATCTCAGAATACCCATTAGTATTGGTGTTGAACTTCTAACACTGATGTTATATATTTTTATAACACTAATAGAAAATTTCTACAGACAAAGACCTACACTTTCAAATAGCAACTTCAATGCCTAAGTTAGAATACATAATTAAATATATTAAAAAGAAAGAGTAAAAAGAAAGAATTTCTTACAATTTATTGAGATTTAACGGACCCAACTCTCTTCTTATGAATACGAACTACTTTTCTCCTAGAGGTTTTCTAAAGATATCAGCAAGTTATAGTTTAGTAGGGATGAATTCTACTATGACATCTTTTTTGTGAACATGATTTCTGATAAAGTGATGATGAATGTCAATATGCTTAGTTTGAGAATGATGAATTGAATTGTTAGTCAAGCATATTGTACTGGTGTTGTCACACTTGATTGGAATATTCTTGAGCTTGATTTTGAAGTCTTCAAGTTACTACTTTATCCATAAGATTTGAGAATAACACAATCTAACAGCTATATATTTTGATTCAGTTGGTGATAAAAAGATAGTATTTTGTTTCTTGCTTGTCCAATACACAAGTGAACTATCAAAAAAGTGGCATGTTCCACTTGTGCTTTTTCTCTCTGTCTTGCATAATCAACATCAAAATATCCAATTAAAAAAATCACTTCCTCCTTTAGGATACCAGAGACCCAATGAATTAGTATCTTTTAGATATATGAAAATCTTTTTCATTGCTGTCACATAGGATTCTTTTGCTGTTGATTGAAACCTTGCACAAAGACTAACACTAACGAATATATTTGGATGACTTGTTATGAAATATAGAAGAGATCTAATCATCTCTCTATATGATCTGCAATCATATTCTATTCCAGCAGCATCTTTATCCATTCTTCCTATGTAAGCAAGACTTGACATGATGCCTTTTCTTGTTACAATATGAGTAGGTAATAAACATACTGGAAGAATGCATAGAAGATTTAAAGTAGCTATGGTAGTATCTGGCTACCTTTTTAGGCTTCTTTTAAGAAGTATTAGTGATAGGATTATATTCAATTCCTGACCTATTAGAGATACATCTTTGTGAGCCAATCAAAATGTTTAGCATCTCAGTACCCTGAGTGAGTTTTGCTAAATCATTTTTCAAGATGTTATTTTGAAATTGTAATGATATATAGTTTGTACATAAATTACAATCATTTTGAGCAACATTCTTCTATTAGAAGATGTTTTTTAACTTATCTTCTAACACAAAAATTTTATTTTTAGCAAGCAAAAGTTGTTTGCACTGTTCTTTAAATAGATAGAATAATTCATTATATTCATCTTGTAGAAGATTAAAATTTACCTCATCTGATTATGATTCAATTAGATCTATTTCTTATGCTACTAGGTATAGGGTTGTTGTTTCCTCCTCCTCTTTATCATTATCTAAAGAGCTATCTCCCCATGCAGCAAAGGCCTTCTTCTTCTTCTAAGGCTTTTCATTTTTTTTCTCCTTTTCTTATTTCTTATGTCACTGAGGACGATCCTATTTGATATGTCCTAGTTTCTTGCATTCATAAATGTCAATGGCTCCTTTTAATCTTTCTTACTGCTTGAAGATCCTTTTCTAAAGCTCCTCTTTCCTTAATAGAATCTTTTGAGTCATTTGACTATCATGCCAAATTCTTCATCTTTATTAGACTTTACTTCTGATTCATCTTCGTTGACTTTTAGAACAATGCCTTTCTTCTTTTTGCCTATATCTTCCTTATATTAGAGCAAGGTTGATTTGTGTTCCTTAATGCTTTCGAAGAGTGTAGCTACCGAACTCATTGATACTCCTTGTGCCTCAATAATAGAAGTGATTTTAGGTTGCTATTCCATTGAAAGACTTTTGAGTATTTTTCTGACTTGTTCAGCCTGAGTATAAGCTTTGCCTAAATTTATCAAATGATTAATAATATGAGTAAAACGTAGTTACATATCTTTAATTGCTTCTCCTTCCTTCATCTTGAATGTCTCATATTTATAAATGAGACTACTCTTCTTATTTTCTTTAACACCATCAGTTCCTCCATGAGCTTGTCTCAAAGCATTTTACATTTCTTTTACAGTGGTACAGTGAGTAACAGATAATATTTTGTTCTATTGAGAGCACAAGCAACTGTAAGTTTTACCTTGGTGTTGAGATTCAATCTTTTTTGTCCTCATCATCCCATTCTTCTTTTATTTCTTATCTCATTGGGCCATTATCTCCAAGGATCATGGGGATATATAGACCTCCGATAACGATGCCCAACATCTCAATGTCCTGAGCTTTAAGATACATCATCATTTTGCTTTTCTAGAAAGGATAGTCTTCTCTTCTAAATTCAGGAGGCCTCATTGTTGACATACCTTCTCCTAAATTATCTACAAAATTAGCCATTAATAGGATCTTTTACTTAGACAATTAAGTTAAAAATGAGCAACCACGCTCCGATACCAATTGTAAATGCCCCAAGAGGGGGTAAATTGGGCTAATTAAAAATTTAAATGAAATGCAATAATAATAAGTGAGATGAAAGAACAAAATCACCAATCATGAGAGTTAGATGAGAAGAGCTTGACACAAGTGATTTATCTTAATTTGACTCCTACCACTTGAGTTTACATCCAGTCCTCAAGAACCTCCTAAGATTTTTAAGTATATTACCAGGGTTAATCTGGGCTCTTGGTTGCCTCAGTATGTAATAAACTTCTCAATGAGTTTGAAACTCTCTCCCTTATAAAGGTAATGATAAATCCCCTTAAGCTCCCCAAGCTTAAGTTTCTCTTTTTTGAAGATGTAAAATAGGGATAAATAGAGTAAGTTCAAGAATGAACTACTACTACTTTTAAACTCTCTTTTAGAGTAGATATATAATCAATGAAGCTCTCTAAGAATAAATGATATACAAAAGGTACGTAAGCTTTGATGCTCAAATAAATGCAGAATGTTCTTATTGTTCTCGTTGTTCCTCTCCTTCTTTAGGTTTCATAAATGAGTCTATTTATAGTTGGGGATCATAAATAATCCATTAAACTCATAAATATTTCTGTTGGAGGTTTCTCGTGATCTGTTTCCTT